AAAGTTTAGAACTATTCCACGCCGAGATCCCCTTTCCCTTCGAGCACCTTCATACAAATTAGTGCTCAGAGGCACCAGTCTATCGCGCACAGCTCCTTTCAGAACCGTTTTCGAGTAGGCCAGGGCTTAAAACTCTGGAACTTGCAATTCGCGAATGGAGGACAGCCCTTTCTTGAGTTATAACGAGTTATAACTCATCGTACAGTCTCAGGGCTTTGATAAAAGCCAGTATCTGAGACGGCACCACAAAGGCTACCTCTCCATCTCCGACATCAACTGTACCAAAGTTTATGGTACGAACAGACAGTAGTTGTTGTCGTCTCGGCGCACTCGGTAATAAGGTGTTCTGGTGTTTTCCCCAGAATCTGCATTCACCGTTATTTCTGAGCTTCAATCTACTGAGTATCGTTGACGAGAAAGTGTCCTGTTAGAAATCCCATGGACAATCCGAACATTGTTCTTACTTAAATAAAGGAAAATCTTTGATTTTTCTCGGTCGTAAGTTCTGAGAAACTTTTTCGAGTGTCCTAGACCGTTAAAAGATTCCCATTCCAGGTTACAAATGGAGTCTTCCAGGTTCTTGATTTCCGCTTTAAGTTGGTTCCCGCTTGGAAAGTAGAACGGTTCTGGTCTAGTTAATGGGGAGTGTTTGCTCCTTTTCTAGCTAGATCGTTTGCTTTTTCATTACCTACTTGGTGAGCGGGCAACCAGAGTAGGAGTTCTTTATTTTCTTTGCCTAATTTTAATTAGGCTTTTTTAATTTTAATTTTTCATAACTAAAAAAGTAGTTCTTAAAAACTAATTAAAGCCAAATATTTGCTGTATTTAATGGGTTGTTGAAACAAAACACGTTTTTTTATAATTTGAAAAAGAAAGCTATTATTCATCATAATTAAAAATACGTGGTACTTGCTATGTTTAGGTAGGCGATGCAATACAGGTATGGAGAATACATTTATTTGGAATATATAGGTACATAAAAAAAACAAGGAAGAAATAATATATAATATTAGATTTCATGGTTGGTTTAAACCTGGAGATGGAAAGGAAGATAAGACACTTTGTTACAATGGCTGTTTCTTACATTCTAAGCATTACAATAAATTGTAGAGTTCTGTCCATACTTAGAGATATACAGGATTTAATGCAACCTTAAAAAATGTTTGAATATCAAACTTAATAAATCAGTGAAAGGAAACTACAAAAATGGATATTTTAAAGTTAATAATACTAATATAAACTAAGTTTTAGTAAAAAATATTACTTATTTGATTCTACTATAAGCATATATCATGCGATTTTGTTTACTATCAATGCAAAAAAAAACAAAACATGTCTTTGGTAAAACGCAAAAAAATACTACTAATTTGCATAAAGGAGTTTGAGAATTTCACAGAATGGTCGTTTGCGCAATAAGAACTATGAAGATAGATACTATTGTTTCAATGTAACAATGAATTGGAGATGTCATTGAGAATACATTAAATTGTCTTTGGGTTTGTCAATCAATTCATAGTGATGCAATCCGTTTCAAGAATATTTGTTATAGATATGATCTTATTTCATCAGGTGTGATTTTACTATTCATCGGGAGTACACCATTTAATGTTTAATTTACTCTTTATTATAGCAATGCTCTTATACTATTTTTATTTTTGACATATATGAGACTTCTGTACTGCTTTCCCATTAATGTATCTAATTTATTACAAGATTTCAATCATAACCCGAGGAAGGTAGTTATTGTAACTTTTTACTAGAATTTTGACTACAAATTTCAGTTTTTGTAGAGTTTATGATAATATAAAAAAAAACAGATCCATCAACCAATAATAACAACCAATCATCTAATAATCTAAAACTGGTATCTTATGATAATATTTGGATAAGCTCTTCGCATTCTTAATTAATAATCTAATTTATTAGATATTATATAATTAAAAAAATATAAGTCAAGGATGACAGTTGATTGACTTAATGATTCAGCGTTAATTTAAAAATGTAAATCAGCAAACTATTTGAAAATGCTCGATTTATTTAATAGTAGTCTTATTGTGATATAGATTACATTATTAATTACATTTTATATAGGACAATATTCAAATGAAAGTAAAAAGTGCGACATATTTTCTTCGACATATTAAAAAAAACTAAATAAAAGAGATTGAATAAAAAAATTGAGTTGAGGTTGGAATCTTTAACGTTAGAACATAAAAATTAAACATATTAGTTCACCAAAATACAAGTTTTAATCATTTGTTGATAATGCTATATAACATTATTACCGAAACGCGTACTATACTTAAAACCTACCGCTAAAAGTAAAATAGAGAAAAAAAAGAGAAAGCAAGAGCCACTTTCGTTAGCATGGAAAAACTGTTCAAGAGTAATCTTAATTTACAAATCAAACTAAGACTACTTAAGTGCTATATCTAGTCTGTTCTCCTGTATGGTACCGAGTCCTGGACATTAACAGAAGCGTCCACAAAGAAACTTGAAGTCTTTGAGATGTGGCTCGTATACAAACGACTTGGGTAGACCACGTATCCAACAAGACCGTTTTGGAATTACTTCAAAAGGAGAACGAAATAGTGGACATTACCAAACAAAAAAATTAGAATATCTGAGACTGGTAATGAGAAATCAAAAGAGATATGGTCTACTTCAGTTGATACTCCAGAGAAAGGTCTTAGGCAAAAGAGGTCCTCGAAGGCGCAGAATCTCCTAGTTGAAAAACTTCAGAACTTGATTTTCCCTGTCTAGAGAAGGACTATTTAGAGCAGTAGCAAGTAAAGTTTGAATCGCTTTGCTTATCGCCAAGATCCGGAACGGAGAGGCACATTCAGAAGGAGACTGCTAAAAGTAAAGAGTTTTGGCGTATTGCGGTGAACTAGTGTTTTATTTTGCTTTACTTTTAAAATCCTCTATATGAGAAAATAGATTGGAACAATTAAATTTTTCATTTTTTTCCTGTGTTCCTCTGATTTTTTCTGGTTCAGAATTTTAGTACAGTACAGGTTATACATTTGAGTATTCTCAGTATTTGGCTTTGGACCAAGTAATAGGATTTCAATTTTTTTTTTGATTAGCTTTGTTAGGTCGTCGGATTTTCGTTACCTTGGATACCACTATGACTCGGCACCCAGATTTTTTTTTTCTTTTGTATCAGAGTTCCAAATTCTTTCCGGCATTTCCAGACGAGTCTCGATGATACCTTCGAGGTCATGATCACCTTAAATGACCGTCTGACTGTCTGGGCATATATTGATGAGCTTCCCTTCAGGGACCCGGAGTAAGCTATTCTGTTGTTTTCTGTAGCGCATTATACAGGGTCCGGCATTAGTGCGTCGGACATCTGCAGCTCCTAAAATAAAAAAAAACCGTGAATTTTGTTTAAGTGCAAACCTAAAGTGATGTATAATGATGTATTTCAGGGAAATGTTTTAACTTTTAGAGGATGGCTGAAAAAAGCATGAGTGGATTGGAATGTGTATTTTTTAAATGGAACACCCTGTATATTATTGCATTTTTGGCTTCCTTTCAGATAACTTTACATAATCCTAAGATATGAGTAAATATATTTCGGTAGTTTTAAAGAGTGTGTGATAAATAAATACAAAATATACATTTTTCAGCATTTCTTAAAAAGTATTACAAATACAAAAAATGTCCTAAAATCAAAACTATATTAGGTATTTACTTTAGTAGTTTACTTAGGGTATTTACTTACTTTGCTATTAATATCGTAATCTTAAATCATACAGGATGTTCAATATTCAGTGCCAAACTTTCTAAAATATAAAATAATTTTTCTTCGTTTTTCACCCTGTATATTATTTTTTTATTAGATGGATTAAAATTTTTTATATTTAGAATATTTCAAAATTTTTAACGGTTTCGCATATAATTGCGATATTATCTCATATGGGTCTTCAACGGTAAAATAGGAGAGAAAAATCATCGAGTGGCTTTGATAAATAATTAATCTGTAGAAAATCTATTTCTGCCGCAAATAGAGTTCAGTATTTACGCAAGGAAAAGGATAAGCTTGTCCTTGGTCTCCTTCAAGTTGGTCTTTCCCCAAATACTCTAGCTCTTGTTCCTTCAGCGGTAGTTGACCTATCTGTATACCAGGTTAGTCCGTCCTGAAAGAGTGTATCTGTCCACATTCTTCTATTTAGTCACCTCGAACGATTTGTGGTAGTGATAAAGGGGGGCTATTAAGTCGATCTCATTTGGAGTTGAGGTCGCCCAATGGAATTTTTAAGTGTCCTCTTTCTGTCCTTTTGCACAGAGACAATGTGCTTTATTCTTGGTCTGGGTCACTATGAGAAGAAACGGAAGTTCTAAAAGCACCTTCTTTTATTATTGATTTTGTTCTACCGATGCTGTACAAAACAAATTGCCTTGGTCTACAACAAAAGTAATGAGTCACATAATATTTCATAACATTATAATTTTTAAATTATAAATAACATCGATGTAACGATACATGATGTTTTCTAAGTGATATTTTTACACATGGATGTATAGTATTTAATGTATCGATAAATGGACATACTTTTACGATATTCGTATCCCTAGTAAGTAGCCCTTATACATTACCATTTGCAGATGTAAGTTTAAATAATGGACACTCTATTACTTGGTCATTTACTTTAAATAATAATGTATTTGAGAATTTTAACTGCTAATCATTGTTTTCTCCAGTGAATGATATGGGTATCTAATATGGTAGCCTTGTAAGGAATATCGTATACCACTACCCATATTTGGTTTAATTATCTTAATTGTTTACAGTTCAGAAGATACAATATAGGAATAATTAGGTGTTTCTTCACACATTATAGATCAAAAATAAAGTCGTTTAGGACACATGTTTATACGAACTTTTATTGTGTAACATGATTGTAATTAGATAAGAATGTTTGAAAATTAATATCACTCTAACTAACAAAAATACTTAAATAACACGTTTAATAGAAATTATTCTTTTTAAGGATTCTGTGGTGGATTTAGTTAGCGGTCTGGGAGCACCTCTGTCAAAACTGGTAATAACAGCACCTGTCCAAGCTTTCCAGTTTAAATTGCAGAGCGAAGAATACACAGCTCCTGGAAGTCCTGCTTTGGAGCTTGCTTCGATAACTAGAGACGAACTATGTAGATTAATGAAAGGAGGTAAAAACTGGACTTTGGAACGCGATGAAGATCAAGCCGGTCCCTATATATTCAGGTATTTACCAGTTATTTTATTATTCGTTAAATTCATGTATAATAAACTAAGTTTCTTGTAATAAAAGAACTGAAAGTACCGGCTGCAATTACAGATGTTCTTTTGTGTTGAAAAAAGGATTGAAATTATTTCATTAATAAAAGTAAGATTTTTTTTAATTTAACTATTTGTCTAAAAGTAACAATAACTATGTATGTAGATTTATCTACATGAAATACATTTTAAACACTTTAACATTACATTTCGGATGTCTTGTTTCTTTAAAATCTCTATTTGATATCAATTGTATTGTATATAAGTCGGTTCAGAACGTTCTACGATGTTTCCAACACCTAACGTCCACTCTTCTCTATTTAGCCAGATATCATCAGGTATTTCTCTATTTTCAAGTTCTTTATCTACACCCTCCCTCCCGTTTCGTCGTGGCCATCCTCTTTTATTTCTGCTTCGCGGTGTCCACATCTGTGAGCGGGCATTCGTTGCACATGACCAAACCATATAAGTTGTTTTGTTCTTATGTTGTCCACAACTGTGTTCTGCTCCCATAATCTCTATTGCTCTGCCGTTGGTTATTTTTTCTCTTTTTGATTTACCAATAGATCTCCTCCAGTAATCCATTTCGGTCGCTAATAGCGTGTTCTCCGTTCTGCTTTTCAATTGTCATACTTCGCTTTCGTGAGTTATTATGTTTTTCACTACGGTATTATATATGTTCTTCTTATTAGCTTCAGAAATTCCTTGATCCCACAGTATACCATTCAACATAGATATTGCCCTACTGCCAGTGGCGGCTCGTGGTAAAAAAAGTAGGGAAGCAATAATAGAAAAAAATGCCCCCCCCCCTGTCACTTTCGTTAAAAAAATCCTAAAAAGTTATATGCATCTAAGAGGACAAAAAAACTTTTCAAGCATTTTAATGGGGATGGGGACCAAACAGCACAAAATTTGAATGATTTTAAAAAAGAAATGATTCGGATCTGGTGTAACAAAAAATGTATACTAATCACGCGTCTAATCCTATTTTTTGTTCTTAGTATGATGCACTATTTTCTGCTGCCTACAGTAATAAAATAATCCAGAATACAAAGGTATTTTGTAATTTAAAAAATGTACTTACCAAAACAAACTTTCTATTTCTTATATAACAGGTCGATTCTTCGGGATTTTAAACTTGCAAACCGGTCGATTATATCTTCATAGAAGGATTTAATTAATTTCAGTAAGTCTTTTAAAAGTTCTTTTTCAATTGAAATTGTGGTCTGAAAAGACTGAAAAGAAAAGTTATTAAGTTTTTCTTCAGTGATTGTATGTCGCAAATAGGTTTTAATTCTATTTAAACATGAAAAACTTCATTCAACGGAAACGCTGGTGGAGGGAATAGTCACTATTAAACAAAATAATTTGTATGAGTCTTTAAAAACTTCGCTATTACTATACCGAAAAACAGTGAAAACACAAAAGACTGTGCGAAAGACAAAGGTTAGGTTTTGTTACGTCCGAAAAAGCACATAGGAACCAAGTTTTGCCGATGCTTCCAGCCCGTAATACACTAGATAAAATTTCAGGCAAATTACACAGGTGAGACATGTTTGGTTGCCTATCTTTGGGCTTTATTTATTGTCGAACGGAATCATACTGTGTCATTGTAAAATTTGCTGCCGTTTGATCGTGGCGTGTGGCGTCTCGTTCGGGACGCGTTCGGCTAGAAACTTATGAAAACGTATGATTCCCCAAAAATGAAGTGATGGAAGAGTAAAAAGTAAAAATTGGTATATTTTATATTTATTAAAAATAATTGTATTACTTTTATCTGAATTATTTTAGAGGAAGCAATGCTTCCCTTGCTTCCGCTGACGAGCCGCCACTGCCTACTGCCTCGCATTATTCGATCTTTTATCAAGTTTTCCATCCATACCCTCATCAAGTTTTCCATCGTTAGTTATTTTTTATATCAATTGTAAAATTGAAAAATAAACTGTTTGATATACTAGATATGATCACTCACGTGAATTAGAATGTGAAATTTTATGATCAATTGTAATAATATTTTTTGTTCGCAATCAGAGACTTTTTTGTAACTTTGTAACTAATAGTAACGTCAAATACTTGATATACTGTTTTTTTATTCTACTCTGTGACATCTCTCATCTTAAAGGAATCATCCAGTCTGTAACGTGGTCCAATTACTTATTACAAATCAAACTACAATAATATGTAATCCCACAACATGACAACTATTTTATTACAATTGGCCTAAGTTATAAAGTAATATGTTTTATATAATCATGACTTGGTCGATGGTTGAATTACTTTATGGTCTTACTAGCCTGATGACGAGACTATTGTCTGGAAACTATTTGCATCCCTATGTAAATTTTAATATAAGATTGGGAGTAATTGTGCCTTTTCATTCCCTTATTAGAGCATATTTACTTAAAATTAACTCACGTTGGATCAATAGACGTCAATAGAGGTCACAAAATTAGAGGGTGAAAAAATTACATTTAAATTTTTCCTTATAAATAAAAAAATAAATATACAATAAAAAATACCTACAATAAAGAAAGTAGAAGTGGAGTAGAAGTAGAAAGTAGAACTTAATGCGGAGTACCTGTATATTAAAATGCTACAGGTATGATCTAATACCCGATGTTTTGTGCAACAGTAATGAGTAATATGGATAGAATCATGTCTAATAAAGTGCACGTAATTAGGTTACAAATAGGTACATTTTTCTGAAGGACGTTGCGTTGGTCGTGTTTTCTTAAGGCCACACACATAAAAATAAGTCATGTGAGGCATAAAAATAAACATTTACAGTAAATTATATATCTGATTTATTTTTGTTTATACATTAAATTTTTGTCACAGGAATAAGGTGAACCTATCTAGTTAACTTATACTGTTATAAAATGAGTAATGAGTATGTCGCTTAACTGTGAATTGATGCTCTTGGTACATTCTATATAAGGGGTTGACAATTTTAATATTGCCTCTGGAAATCATCAATCAAAAAATGACATTTTTTGATTCCTTATTGTATCACAAAGGTTCTTTAGCCCATTTGCGTTTGATCGTTTTAAGAAATAAAGTAATATTTGTCTTAGATTAGATTTTATGAGGTGGCTATTACTTTGTTCCATTATTATTCTTACAGATCTATTGTGATCGTCTGATGTTTAAATTACATGTTTCAGTCGCATCCCTTTCACAAAGTACTATAACTGAATTTTCTATTTACCTCTTTGCTAACAAGTTATCGTCACCTAATAAAAAGAACCATACATTTGGTTACACCGAGGATTACACACTTTATGTTACGCTAATGTAGTCATATAGAGTGTGCTCTCCCGATTCTTCTTTTGATTGACAGAATCTGGACATTGCTTTGTAGAATGTACAATGAGTGGTAGGGTAGGTCACCTCGACCTTAGGGATTTATTGTGTTTCGTTTCTTGTATGATACCACCACATACACCATAGGCGTAGTCAAAACATTTATCAAAAATATAAATATTTCTTCAAGCAGCTATGTTAAGAAAAATATGTGCCACGGCACTGTTTGGAGGTATGGTAGCAATTTGGTCTCGGGTGTTATTAGTCCTTGTATTCTTTAGTCACTGACAATTTCTTTTGAATAACCTCTTTTTTAGAATATCTTAATTTTAAATTTGTTACTCATGCACTGAAGTCTAGATCTAGATTTTTTTTTCTAGATTATCAATCAAACCTAATTTTTTTGGGGAATTTATGTTTATTATTAAATAATTCATTATCGAAAAATAAAACAATAAATGCAGAATTAAATGATTAGTAAAACGCGCGTCCAGTGTATAAAAAGTAAATTCAAATTCAAAAGTACTTTATTGTTAAAAAATATATAAATTTTTGTAAACAAAGCGTATTCCTAAATCTAAACCTAAAATACTTATTGCCAGCAATTTTATCATTAAAAAACAGTTCCATCAAAAGCAAATAAAAAAAAACAGTAAATATAAAATGTAAATATAAAAACAAAACATAAAAAATTTTTGTTTAAAGATTGAACAAAATACAACCATTTAAACAAACAAACAGAATTCAGGAAAATAGGTTTAAACAAACTAAGTAAAATAACATAATATACAATAAAGAGAATAAAGATAAGATAAAATATTTCTAAATTCTAAATACTAACCACTAATATCAAGGGTGTCCCGGTAGAATTCGTCAACGCTGTAAAATGCCCTACTTAAAAGTTCCTTTTTCAGTAGCCTCCGGAAGGTTTTTATGGCATTAACCAATCTCAAAGCAACCGGCAGATGATTAAACACCTTTCGGCCCTCATATATTATGGATCTTTTGACCAAGGTGCTATTTGGAAGTGGCAAGGGAAGATTCAGGGTTTGGCGGGTAACAATATTGGATATAGGACCCTGTAGTCTGTTACCATTTTTAAAAATAAGAGGTGATGTTTCCAGGATAAAAAGAGATGGTGAATCTTTTGAGCTTTGAAATGTTGTCTACAGGATTCGTTATGTGGTACATTTACAATAAATCGTACGGCCTTTTTTTGTAAAATAAACAGAATGTTTAGTAGACCCTGATTAGCCACGCCCCAGAATGGTATTCCATACCGGACATGAGACTCAAACAATCTAAAATAGACCGTCCTTGCCACTTGTGAACCCAGTTCTCTCTTCCCTAATTGCCCTAACAGCAAAGCATCCAGAAGACAACTTGCCACTTAAGGCCAGAATATGATCTTCAAATCGCAGATTTCCATCAATAATAATTCCTAGGAATCTCGTCGCAGGAATTCCTGTAAGCAAACCTCTCTCGAAATGGAGATTTGCGATGTCACACCTAAGACCAACAACATGTGTCTTGGATAAATTTAAACAAAGGTGATTTGAGTTAAACCACTTTTTAATGAAGGATAAGCCCTTGTTTATGATTCCCTTAAGATGCTCAATGTCCTTGCCCTGCCATAATATTGAAGTGTCATCTGCAAAGAGTGT